CTACTTTCCAAACAAGATTACTTTATTCTGCACAACTTTACTAACATTCAAATCAAGTTTCACTCTTTCTAACCAATTTCTACAACTTTCTATACAGCTTTATTTTTTCTGTACATGGTTTGCACATTTAGTTAAATTTTCTAATTTTAGTAAACATTCTTGTCATTTTTTGTTTAAAATGGTACTGTAAAACATGTTTAAATAGCTACACATTTTAGCGAATTTGACTCCACGCTTAGTTGAGTTGGGTTACTGCAATGTGTGGGATTAATGTGTGTGTAATAACTGCCAGCCTGACTGGAGTTACTGCCCTGTGTGGGGTAAATGTTATGTTTAATAACTGCTTAGTTGATCGGAGTTACTGTCCTGTGTAGAGGTAATGTATGTGTAATAACCGCTTAGTTGACTGGAGTTACTGCCCTGTGTGAAGTTAATGTGTGAGTAATAACTGCCAGAGTCAGTGGAGCTGCTGATTTTGTGCGGGGTTAACGTGTGTGTAATAGCTGCTCAGTTTACTAGAGTTATTGCCCTGTGTAGGATTAATGTGTATGTAATAGCTGCGAGGCTACCTGGGATTACTGCCATGTATGGAGTTAATGTGTGTGCAATAGCTGCATAGTTGCTTCGAATTATTGTCATGTGTGGAGTTAATGTGTGTGATAGCTGCTAAGCTGACTGGGGTTGCTGCCCTGTATGGAATTAATGTGTGTGTAATAGCTGCTTAGTTGAATGGAGTTACTGCCCTGTGTGGGTAATAGGTGCTTAGTTGACTGGAGATACTGCCCGGTGTGGAGTTATTGTGTGTGTATTAGCTGCTTAGTTAACTGGAGTTACTATCCTGTGTGTGGTTAATGTGTGAGTAATAGGTGCTTAGTTGATTGGAGTTACTGCCCTGTGTGGGGTTAATGTGTGAGTAATAGGTGCTTAGTTGACTGGAGATACTGCCCTGTGTGGGGTTAATGTGTGAGTTATAGGTGCTTAGTTGACTGGAGATACTGTCCTGTGTGGGGTTAATGTGTGAGTTATAGGTGCTTAGTTGACTGGAGATACTGCCCGGTGTGGAGTTATTGTGTGTGTATTAGCTGCTTAGTTAACTGGAGTTACTATCCTGTGTGTGGTTAATGTGTGAGTAATAGGTGCTTAGTTGATTGGAGTTACTGCCCTGTGTGGGGTTAATGTGTGAGTAATAGGTGCTTAGTTGACTGGAGATACTGTCCTGTGTGGGGTTAATGTGTGAGTTATAGGTGCTTAGTTGACTGGAGATACTGCCCTGTGTGGAGTTATTGTGTATTAGCTGCTTAGTTAACTGGAGTTACTATCCTGTGTGTGGTTAATGTGTGAGTAATAGGTGCTTAGTTGATTGGAGTTACTGCCCTGTGTGGGGTTAATGTGTGAGTAATAGGTGCTTAGTTGACTGGAGATACTGCCCTGTGTGGAGTTATTGTGTGTGTATTAGCTGCTTAGTTAACTGGAGTTACTATCCTGTGTGTGGTTAATGTGTGAGTAATAGGTGCTTAGTTGACTGGAGTTACTGTCCTGTGCGGGATTAATGTGTGTGTAATAGCTGCTTAGTTGACTGGAGTTACTATCCTGTGTGTGGTTAATGTGTGAGTAATAGGTGCTTAGTTGATTGGAGTTACTGCCCTGTGTGGGGTTAATGTGTGAATTATAGGTGCTTAGTTGACTGGAGATACTGCCCTGTATGGAGTTATTGTGTGTGTAATAGCTGCTTAGTTGACTGGAGTTACGATCCTGTGTGTGAGTTATAGGTGCTTAGTTGACTGGAGATACTGCCCTGTGTGGAGTTAATGTGTGTGTAATAACTGCAAGGTTCAGTGGAGCTGCTGCCTTGTGTGGGATTAATGTGTGTGTAATAGCTGCTTAGTTGACTGGAGTTACTGTCCTGTGCGGGGTTAATGTGTGTGTAATAGCTGCTTAGTTGACTGGAGTTACTACCCTGTGTGGCGTTAATGTGTGTGTAATAGCTGCTTAGTTGACAGGAGTTACTGTCTTGTGAGGGGTTAATGTGTGTGTAATATCTGCTAAGCTGACTGGGGTTACTGCCATGTATGGAGTTAATGTGTGTGTAATAGCTGCTTAGTTTACAGAAGTTACTGTCCTGTGTAGGAATAATGTGTGTTTAATAGCTGCTTAGTTGACTGGAGTTACTACTCTATGTAGAGTTAATGGTGTGTAATAGCTGCTTAGTTGACTGGAGTTACTACTCTATGTGGAGTTAATGGGTGTGTAATAGCTGCTTAGTTGACTGGAGTTACTACTCTATGTGGAGTTAATGTGTGTGTAATAGCTGCTTAGTTGACTGGAGTTACTACTCTATGTGGAGTTAATGTGTGTGTAATAGGTGCTTAGTCTACTGGAGTTACTACTCTATGTGGAGTTAATGTGTGTGTAATAGCTGCTTAGTTGACTGGAGTTACTACTCTATGTGGAGTTAATGTGTGTGTAATAGCTGCTTAGTTGACTGGAGTTACTACTCTATGTAGAGTTAATGGGTGTGTAATAGCTGCTTAGTTGACTGGAGTTACTACTCTATGTGGAGTTAATGGGTGTGTAATAGCTGCTTAGTTGACTGGAGTTACTACTCTATGTGGAGTTAATGTGTGGGTGTAATAACTGCTTAGTTGACTGGAGTTAATGCCCTGTGGAGATAATTTTTCTTTGGCATTTCTGATTATTTAGGAAATTAAGTATGACGCACTACCCATTATAGCGTCTTATAATTCCACTTATCAGATTTAAAGGTGTTATAACGTCATTATCACACGTTGATGTTTATTTTTAAATAAGGCAATGGCAGGGATGTACACAATAGTGGGCAAAATAGTTGCACAGGAACATTGCTGTTCGGGGAATTGTTTTCACATAATAATGGCCAGTGGGAAGTCATTTTATTATTTTATAACACAGTAGACTGTCCGCAAATTGAATATTTTTAACAAGAAAGAAGTAAACAGACTGGTCAGCGTGTTGTGGATGTTTGTATTCCAGTTACATGTAGAAGTCGCGAGCAAACAACATGCCAAAATATGCACATTTCCATGCCGAATCGCAACGAAACATGGAACATTTCTGCCATGGCTCGACAGTGAAGAACCATTTCTGCCCAAGTTTATTCCTATATCTGACATTAGTAAGTAAGTAATAACTTTATTGATTTCGTATCCTTATTGGGATCTTGAAAATAATACAATAAAGAATGTTGTTTCAATAAACAACAGCTAGCTAAAAAAGTAACAAAATAGAGTAAACAATTAGAAAATTACATCAATAAGTAAAATAGAACAAAAGTAAAAGAAAAAATACAAGAAATGTAAAATTGAGTGATTATTTTGGGGCAGCTGGTGGTTTTTTCAGTGTAATATCTCTGCGGTTAAAGCAGTTAAAAATGTATTTTGCATAGTCAGTGATTTCTTTGTTGTCGGTAGAGGTGAGAATTTTTATCATGATTTAGTAAACAATCTCACTTCTAACCGACAACGACCTTTGAGAATGAATGGTGAGAAGTTGAACTACCAGACTATATGTTCCATCGAATAGTAAATAGGAAAACACAGACTACTTCTTGTGCTTGGCACAGAAACGTAGATTTTTGTAATTGGTGGAACACATTCTCTCAATTACAAACCCACATTTTTTAACAATCTCCAAATATCCCCTCCACAACGGACTGCTCCCATATCAATATAACCTCACAAAAGAAAATATATGTTATCTTTCTCATTGGTGATGGTTAGCGCTTTTGTGTGTACCCACAGCTTCTACAAGTAAATTTAAATGTTAGTCACCACACCTTTGCAGTTCATTTTATTTAATTAACTGAACGATATGCAGAAATTTGTGGGGAAGTCTCAGATTGTTAGTTTAAGTTAAACTGTTCCACTATAAAGCAGTGTTAACACAAACTAATACTAACTCAATAATATATATAACAAAGTCACGATTTGAAATTTTGCAATAAATCAGTTTTTTTTAATACATTTTGCCTATAGGGGATATCAATGCACTAAAACATACACACTAAATTACATTCAATTCAATTACTGATTTATTTATTAATAAACATCGGATAAATTTGAAACTACAAAGTTGAATTGAAACTGTTGTTCATATCTATGTCATACAGATATGAATTTAATTCCATTATTGAAAACCAATAAATGAATGTTCATGTTAAATACATTGTATGCTGCTATTGCTGGTGAATATTGTAATGTATATTAAATGATATTTATTGTTTTCTCAATTCATCAAAGTAACAATGCTGTGTAACAGTAAGACTATGTAATCAACATAGTATAGATATTCTTGCATATTATAACATTTATATATACTTAAACAGTAGAAATTAATTCAAAACAAAATGTTTCAACTAAGGTACAGCTAATTTTAACTAATGTCACACAAAAGTAAAAAGGTATGCTTTGATATAAGACTCATTAATTAGCGCCCAGAGAATGATTCATTTGATAAACAATGTTTGAAAATTACAGACAGAAAGTAAATCCTTACTATAAAATATAATTCTAATTATAAAAACGAATATAAATGAGTAATGTTACTATATCATAGTGGATACCAGAAAAGTGTATCTCAAGAATATTTAAAATCAATCAAAAATGCAATAAAGAGAACTAACATATTTAAAACAATCCTATACGTCATTGATATGTAGATTTGGTACACAGTAAAATCCATATCCAGAGTATACAGTATGGTGCACCTTGCTTTCTAGTCAAACCCTTGAATAACACGTTGACATGAGCTATGCTACTGAAATACCATAACTCCAACACTCGTATAGACTGGCATCATCAAAAATAGTTTTGCAATCAAACTAATATCTCATGAAAATTTTGTCAGTGAATTTGCGTTAATAATTCAAATATCAAGAGGTTAAATGAACATTGATTGTACTGTCATCGTGCATTGCATGACCATGCAAATGATAATAAAATACAATTTTGTCAAGGTAGTTATTCTCATTCATCCTCTTCTTCGTCTTCCACTTTAGCTTGTTGAGGTTTTCCATCTGGGTATTTAAGCATATCTTCAATCGCACGTGTCACAAAGTAGTTTTCTAGGTACAACTTGTTGATTTCCAACAGATTTTCGATGCTGCTTTCATGATACACCTTCCCATCTGTTGACTTTGCGGATGCTCCATCTCTTCTAACAGTTGTTACCCAGTTTTCAGACCACTTGTCAAGGAGTAAATCAGTAACATAAAGACCTGCATTGGAAGCACGTGCAGCTATTGCTTCATGTTCAGCACGAGATATCCCCATATACCGAGACAGCAGTCGGTGGTCTTTAGTGTCATCTCTTTCTTTTTCCAATAGAATCGCCACTTCTTGTCTTGTTTTGTGCTCCATCCACTTTACATCAGACTTGATACCATTTTCTTTTAGAACTGTCAGGTCAAATCCTGGAACCAGTAAATCTGTAACCTCCTCTGCTATTCCAATCACTTCATCATAGACTGTGACTTTCATTTTTTCTGCTTGAAGTATTTGCTCTATCGGATATGATCTGACTTCATTGAGGTCATGGTGGTTTCGCAAGGAAAATCTGCTAGTGACATGAAACTCCACATCTGCACCAGGGCTTGTTTCATGTAACACCTGACGCATAACAACAGCTACCTTTTGCTTTAACGAATGACACTCTTCAAATTGGTTTCTTCCTTCACATCGAACGGCGACACCAACATCACGTTTGTCTTCTGAAAGAAAGACCAGGGCTTCAACATCCTCACAGAGCTTGATACCGTTTTTCCATATACCACTTGGTGGCCGCTGCAATTTTGTGTAAAGATCGTGAAGACGTGCTTGCAGTCGAGGAAAGAAATTGGGAGAAAACATATCAGCTTCTGCCTTGCACAGGAATTCTTTACCAAAATAAAGACGCATTTGGGGTTCTGCTTTCCACTTATCTTTTGGCATATCTGTTGAAAGTAAATTTGGAATAATATACTTCCCTTGATGGCCACCACCATAATCATTTGCACTCAATGGAACAATTATATCAAAGTGGGTCAGCAGGGGTATCAGCAAGCCCATATCTGCTTCCTTCACAAGCACTTCTTGGATGTCTTCAAATGTGTATATCGTCTGCTTCTTTAATATCTTCGCGTACTGGACAAACAGGTCAGTAGCCATAAGTGGTCCGATTATTCTATCACAAAACCACTGAGGAACAAGTATTATCACAGCTTCCATATCAGACATTCTGATATACAGAATCTGAAACATACAAAAATAACACAATGACGTCAAAATAAATTGGATAATTAATATGTTGCCTCAATGCATCAGTAATTTTTACATGTGTACAATACATATTATTTATGTCATCAGTTTATTTCAATATATATATTATTTACAGAACATGTAAAGAATTTTTTTCCAATGAAATTACCACAGTATAGCATTATTCACACAGGTATATGTGTGTTTCTGTTATGAGATATAACTATTGGCAAATCAAGGCACTGTATGAATTTTGAATATTTGATGATGACATTATTGAAGGTAAAACTGTAGACTTTGAAAATATGCATCATAGTAACATTTTATACTTATTAGTGTCCACTTACATCTCCGTTGTCATAAAGATACTCAGATGCCTTACTCAGGAAAACTTCTTCAACTGATGAATCGATGTCTAGTCTAACATTGGTCACATAATCGTTCCAATACATAACAGGAAAAAATTTACGTTTCTTAATCCATTTTTTCTTTCTACGAAGTATCTTTGCACATATCGCTGGCATTGGCTCTGATATCTACAAAAACATTAAATGATACTTGGCTAATAGACTAGGAAACCATATATGACGTACCGGTAGCCATTGAGCAATACTTGCACACGTGTTTGCCCTCTACATACAAGGTTATTCCTGTGATATGTCATAAATATAGTATAAACCCAACAGGATTATGCCCATTTCAGTTGCAATGTCAAGCATTATAATACCATGAACAAACAAGTCATTCACTGACAAGTCAGATAACTACACACATGGAGCTCCTTGCTACACACAACCCCACCAAAATAACTTAATGAACGAACCAACATCGTTCTGCATACATTCATTAGTGGGAGGAATACATTCACATATATTTTACATTAAAAATATATTCGCATTATAGCGCTCATATTAAGATTAAAAAAGCTTAGAAGCTTAGAAAGAACTCCTACTCCTATTACAAGCAATGATCAGGGTGGTTCGAAGTAGCTATGGTTTAGCAATTATAATATTTAATTATATATGATGACTTGATATTTTGGTCATATCTTGTCATAAACAAAATTATAGCACCAGCTGCATTTCCCTATCTGCAACAGTACACAAGATATTACAATTATGTATATTATTGAGGTCACATGACCATATATAGTGACATGAAATATTAGTCATATCACATTGATCTCAACCAAAAACTAATGACGTTTGTGCGTTATCCCAGAGCATATATGTACCTACCATGTTTCATTAAAATCTGTTGAGATATGCAGATTGGGTCATTAATATGCACAGGATTTCAACCAAAATAATCAGGTCTACGCAATATCCCAGGGCATCTATGTACCAATTTTCATTGAAATCTGTTGCATAGTACATGATGAAAATGCATAAATTTGGCTAAGTATTATTCAAATTAGGTAATTATTATCGATGTATATAAACCCGAAACATTGGATTACATTAGATCGTTGAAATGTCTTAGAGTACTAAGATTCATTGAAATAAGATATTAAGTATTTTAGATATTGATGGAAAAGCTGAAAAACCCACTAAATATGTTATGCAAATCAGGTAATTATTATGCACAGTCTTAATGTAGAACTAAAAGGTCAGTGTATCTATGTACCAAGTTTCATTGAAATGTAATGATTTGTACACAAAAAAAATCAGAAAAAAGGCCAAATATTTACTGATTATGCAAATTAGGCAATAAATATTCATGGTTATTAACCCAAGACTTATCAGGTCTGTGCATTGTACTAAGTTTCATTGTAGTTATTATTATTATAACATATGTACTGCAGTTTACTTTGATTCATCCCTGAAATCAAAATCGTTATTTCCACACCTCATATGCAAATGAGCCTGAGAGCAAACAAAGTAGTCCCTTCAGGAGTACCGTTTTTCGAAACATAGCAGAAATAAACAATATAAGAAGTACGATATTTTTCTCTTGGGGTACATGATTATACTTGCCGAGTGAAATAAAATTTGAACAACAGTAATGGTACTTTTTGGCAGTCACTTATTTCGACAACAACTAATTTGCATATCATCCATGCAATAATGTTTTCGGTATTTTCACGGTCGATATGCAAATGAACATGGTATTTCCATTGGTTACCGAATTATTTTTATTTTGTGAACACATTTTCGTCTGCTATTTGTGTCCGGTTCAAATCGTTCAGCAACATTTTTGGCATGTACGTTAGGTGTACATCTCATGGAATACTATGATTGGGAAACCTTAATGTATGTTGACCACCTAGAAACTGAGTTTTATAAACCTTGAAGGGCTCTCAGAAGATCCACCCGCCGTAAAATCAGCGATTACTATGGAGCCGCAATCATCAACATCGAGATACCAGGAGGTTTCTGCAGGCGACATTGCGGCGTTACTCAGTTCCAAATAAAGATTACCAACGCCAAATGAGCAACATTTTAACCGGTAACCAAGACTTAGTCAATCCACGACCAGCAAGCAGCATCATGCACAAAGTTGTAGCGTTCAGCTCAGCGACGACCGCTGTCGACAAAAGTCATCCCGTCAGTGGAGTACCGCTTCACTCGCTCGTGAAAGTATGGACGCAGGATACACCACATCACTCGTGAAAATAACTTCCATACGCAACGAAAGCCACAGGGAGGGTGTGGGGTTCATATTATCATCTTTATTTCAGACTGTCAAACATTTGAAGGTCCATATAAAACTAGCATGAAAAATTGACATTGATTTAATTTAATTTATTACTCAGCAGGCACTCATCAGATTTTTTCACTTTTTCCAGAGATTTTATGTAATGTATTTGAACATAAGCCATAGCGATACAAATACACATTCTAGAGATTTTACTTTCTAGATGTAAAAAAAAAAAAAAAAATTGAAAGTAAAAAATATGAAAACAAAATATGTGACTTGTATTTCTTTCCATAAACATACCTGGTAACATAGATTTTTAATTAGTGTGAATTACACACGACCCTTGTAGTTCCATGGTATTACTATATATGTGTTCTGTCACATGTATTGGTGTCATAAAAACACATCATTATTCACAGTGTTGCATTTATTTAAATGCATATATTAATTGCACACTGCTTTTGCTGATTTTAACAGCACTGGCAAGTTGGTCCACCTACTTTTCATCAGGGCCACTAACTTTTAAGAGTTGGTAGCCCTGGCGTCTACCACCTTATTTGTGGGAATTTATAACACTGCAAAGCTACTAGGATTAATATTAATATAAATTGTACCTTGCTTTCCCGCTTTACTAACCCTAAAGTAGCTCAACTTGACTTAAATTCAATTAACTATTAATATAAATTATAAAAAAGTGTGGGTCATGACTTGGTAGATCGGTCATCAAAACACACACACACACACACACACACATACATACATATACAAATACACACGGCAAAAACTTGCAAAAATACATATTTACCTGAATCACGTATTCTCTTCGTGTTTTCAGAATTCGCCGCAAGGTTTTCATACCAGAACTAGCATAATCGTGTACATTGAGAATCAATAGTTCATCTAAGATATGAATATATTGACTAAATATCTTCTCCAATCCTTCTTTCAATGTTTTAGCCATTTTGAAAGCTGAAATAAATAATTGACCATGTATTGAATTAGTTACATCATCATCTCATCTTATCGAAAAGTGAATTCACGTAGCAGGCGATGAACTCCACTTGATCTTTTGTTGTGTGGCTTTCTAACGGTGTTTTACTATGGAAGGAAAATTTCACAAAACAAATATATTATCTTTACTATTGCTACGCATCTGTAGTAGCATTTATGTCGCCAGTCAGTAATGTTACAATTTCGTTGTGACTGGGGAATGAAAAGTTTGCTTATTGTTTACCGTATCGAACAGGCCATATATTACTGGTCATCGCTGTGGCACTTTAGTTCAATGATACAAGGATGGCAAATATATATGATGCGTAACAGGTTATGTATTAGCTCTGTTAGTAGTTCTACAAACAGTTTGCCAGTGAAACGTACCGCTGTCTGCAGACTGCATGCCACGTTCTGGGTTGTCAGGATTGAGGGACTGTGTTAGAACTATGAATACAATGGCTCTGCGGAACGCTGTGAATTACATCTTGTCACAACATTTTTCCTCAAATAATTCACCAAGTGAAACGTCCTTGTGAGAAAGTTTGACTATATTATGCTATGTCAAATCTCTCCCCCTCATGTTTTTACAATGTAACAGTAGGGTTGCATGAATCCACATCTACCATTGGTTGACTTGTGCCCGAAAAGGTCAATGTGTGACAACCAAACATCATTTCATTTTCTGTGTCCAGTTCATGGCGGTTATACTGAGCAACATGCTCATACACAGGCCTCCGCACAAACAAAATCCACCGAAGTTTACAGGGACACGGGACTTAGATGATACACATTTTATATTTAGTTTGAAGGTTTTTGTCAGTTACAGCATTGTAACATGGCATAATCTCATTTTCAAAGATCTATGGTGCATGCCAGCGATTTTTTTTAAAATCAACACTGAAATCCACAGCTTACATACAAGTTTACATACGCCATTATTGAAACCACAATTGTCTCTGTTCACAATTTGTGAAAATTTCGAAGGTCAATCTACAATTTCACTGTCAATAAATCTAAATATAATTCCCTGGTTGATCGCGTTTTTGAAAACATGGCGATTTCCTAATGTTTCCAAAATCCATTACAACAAATAACAAAGTGAATTGCAAAAAAATGATGTATGCTTTCAATTATGTACACTCTTTTACCCCTAGATCTAGTATATTTTCGGATCAGTGCTACTCGCACTAACTACTCGCACTATGCCCATTTCAACACACATACAATGTACATACCTCAACTGTGTCACCAACAAAAAGTGATACAATGTATGTTAATCGTGTTTAGAATACATAAACACACTTGATGAATGCTGAACTAAATTTCTGGGACTATTAATATAAATATTATTAGTATTTATTATAATATTCATATTATAACAAAATAATGGTAAGCTTACCTTCAGAATAATAATTAAATTTTTTAGCCCAATCAGCTCTGCTTCCTACTAAGATTACCGTCAGCTTAACTCCAGGGTTTCTGACTTTTAACATTTGAAACCATTTAGTAATCTAAAATGTATCACATATATCAATTCAATTACTGATGATAAACTAAGTTGTCAATCTAAACCGCTAATGGTTCCAAATACACATTTTTAATGATGAGGTTATTACATGATATCACTCTTTGTAAAGCAGGTTGATATGAGTGACATCATAAGCTAATATTTTCAAGTGAACTAGTCTGAGTATCAAAACAAATAGGAAATCATGATTATTTGGAACTTATTATTGGAATTTATGCGATTTAGGCGTGGCGTTGCATGCATTAGTGGACATGCATTTTGCAAAAAATCCTATGTGCTGCTATTGGAGGCATATTTAAAATAATTCAAAATTTGAGACTAGCGCAATAAGATGTTCAGCAACTAATAATGGCCTGCTATTTGACATGCTCAACATAAAAACAGTGTGATCGACAGCATTAATATTTATAATACTCAGACAAATAGATTGCACATCTGTGGTTTCTAATCAGATTTATTAATTTAAATTTGAATTTTTGAGATATCAGAAAACAATAAAATGTTAACTTTCTTTTCAATCAACTTTCTAAAAGTCTATATAAATCTATGACATTAAATTGTGCTCCTACCTATATGAGAAAGTCTATAGTTTTAAGTGAATTATTAAAACTTCAAAAATGTATTTTAAAAATTAAATGATACATTTTTTGTTAGAACCATGATTTTCTATCCTTTGGACTGGTACCGTAATTTGTGTTCCTTAATTCTGTATCAAATCTTCAGAAAGTTTATATTCAATTGGTTGATGCTGTACATGTATACCAAGGCAGGAAACTTTTGTTTTATTTCAGTGTACATTTTTTGATTGACTGAAAAGTTTTTTATTACTGGTAGAGTTTATAATATTACCTGAATAATTTTTATAAACAAATCATATATTTTGAAGACTATAGAAGCAATTTGGTAGTAGGGGATTAATTTTTTCCAATTGTCAACTTCTTTCATTGTATTTCAAGTAATAATGTGCAATACTCATATATTCATGGTAATAGTTATGAGTTGTTTTTTATATTTTTCTCATTTCAATTATGTCTGGTACATTTTTTGAGCAATAAAGTACTTTTGTATTGTATCACTAGTTTATAATGGTATTTAAATGATTGATGGATTCCTTCTCCCCCCAAAAAGGCTAAAGGAAAAAATAAACCGGTAATATTTTGACCCAACATCCTATAGGATTCCTATAGAATAAATTCCTGTAAGATTCCTGTAATATTTTGATGCAAAATCCTATAGGATTCCTACAGTACAAATTCTTGAAAGATTCCTATAGTATTTCAACGCAAAATTCTATACGAACAGAAGTCCAATAGGAAAATGTTTTTGAATGAATATTATAGGAATTCTATAGACATTTTTCCCATAGGAGTCCTATGGAAAACTTTTGTAACAGCACAAATGCAGACACAGAGTAAAATTCAATCACCATAACTCTCCAAACTATGTTGTCAAAACTAATATTCTAATTCTGTTCAGCAATAGATACTAAACTGAATATTCTAGATTGTATTTTGTTTACTTATTATCTTTTAAATTCATATTAATATTTTCGTTTTATTTTCAGATATGGTTATTCATTTTTACTCGTGTTGTCATTGAATTCAGTATGAATTTCGATGCTATAAATATTCAACCAAACCTAGACCTTGATTTTGATATTTAATTTGATATATGGTCATGGACAGTTAAATTATAAGCAACCCTTGACACTTTTTTCAAGATAATTCAACTGATATTCTATCAGCTATGTATTTAATTCAGACTGTTGGTTTTTAAATTTGCACTTTTATGGAGCAAGAGTCAGATAAGACATTTGGTAATGCCAGAGATTCTGATCAAAATCATTTTGTAAATAAATCTATCAAGAAAGTGAACAAATTCTAAACAGAATGTTATTACTGCATATCAAGATGTGACCAGTATATTTTTGGTTTCCTGTAGGTATAGTGCTATATACAATATTGCTAGAATCGGATCAAAATTTCCCATAAACAAGTCTAGTCAGATAATCATCATATACTTGTCATTATTGTTAGCGTTACCAAGCAGACTTGAACTTGATGACACAGCTGATAACATATTGAAATTATCTCTTACCCGAGTCTTTTCTCTCTCCATAATATCCAACGGTCTGATTATCTTCCCGTTTATAAAGTCACACACCTGGTACATCACAATTATAGTAGCCAAACCGGCATATAGAAACATGGCGTGACTGGAAAAATAACTCTCTTGTCCTGCCATATCTAACATAACCATTTTACCAACACCTGGCACTTTTTCTTTAGATATGTCTATGCCTGGGGTCAGAACATAATTATCTTTGCCTGGAGCAGGACCAGCTTTAGATTTGGATGTCTGAAATATATGATAAATATCCATGAAATATATCTACCATACATTTTTACAATTTCGATGAAATATTGGTGAACTATATGTCAAGTACTACTGATAGATGACCATTGTAAAACAAAATATACTATTATAACAATACTCACTTTGAGTAAAGACTTCTTCAGAGTTGTTTTCCCTGAACCTCCATCTCCACAAAACAGTAATTTTGTTGTTTCAATCGGGATTCCTTGCTCCTTCTGTAGTATTTTATAGTCACGTTCCTAAAATATATTTTATTTAAATTTAACTTCAGAATAACATTGTGATTGTTCGATACTATGTTTTGTCTGCAACCAGAGTAATACCTTTTTCACTTTTGTCAACAATATCTCAGCTTCTTCATAAAATTTGTTCTGAAGATCACTTCCTGTACCAATTTTAGACCTCACATACTCGATTGCAGTCTCATCCTGATAATTAAAAACAAAATTGTAACTATATAAACTAACCCAGATTAACCCAAATCTGTACAATCATCTCTGTAAAATGAGCAGAACACTCGTAAAAAACAAAATGGCCACCAGTCTGCCATTTTGAATCGAATCACGGAAAAACAATGACGTGCATCAGTAACCCACTATGACTGATGTCAATGCCAAGTTTGAATAGAATCAGTCAAGGCATGTCTAAGAAATGGTTGATGACCAACCATTTTATTTGTTTTTGACGATAATGGCCACCATTCGGCTAAATTTCGATGAAAATGAAAAACAACTGAAAACATATTTAACCCATTATATCTTGCCTTTGTACAAAATTTAACCCAAATCTGTACAATCATCTCTGTAAAATGAACAGAATACTCGTAAAAAACAAAATAAGTCTTCGTTTTGGACTAGGTCCGACGGGGACTAACACAAGGAGGCTGTCACTGCAGCATGCACAACCGTGCTCGGGTGCCACAGTGTCCTTGCCACAGTACCAGGGTTGCCGTAGTGACCACTCACACTCAGGTACCACATTGCCCATGTCATGATACAACTCAAACGACCAAGGTGCATCATGGGAGGGACCGCCATGACACCTGCACATGCAAAGTATGAATACCAATACTTCAATTTCTTCAATGAAGCTTCTGTAACAAGTCTGATGTGAAAATGTGAAACAAGTTGTGTAAAGTTACAATTACTGTGTTAACCCATTTAAGAACAATTTTATGTTATTTATAAATCAATCATATATATCACCAAATGTAAATTACAAACCTTATTTGGTGACATCATATCAATGTTTTTCTCTAATAAAATCTTCATGATATTCAATGCATTGGCTTTATCTTGTGATGTCTTGACACACCAGCTGGCCTCATCAATCATTTTAAACAGTGCGTTCTTATGTTTCTGCAATATAATATACAGGTTGATGGAAAACAAAAATTACTGAACAAAGTACAAGTTTGAAGAATCATTGTTTATATAGTTATATCAATATCAGGAGTTGTTAAAACAGTTGTGGGAATGAGTAGAAAAAACAACAATCCAAGTGAACAAATCATTAAAATTGACACAGTCCCCGTTAAATTTTTGAAAGTTCTCTTCTCATATGAAAGTCTTCTCATATTAAAGCGGAGGGGTTGTCGCGAGCGTGTCCTTGAAACTTGAGTTCCAAGTGGCGTATACAACACATTGTTTATTTACATCAAAACACGTGTTCCATGTAGTAGTAACAGTGTTCTCCCCAGACTCCATGCCAAGCGTCGCAGGTGATTTGCATAACAATGCATCTAATTTGCATAATTTATTTGCATAATAATTTGTTTATCCAACAAACATTGTGATACATTAAGTACAATAAAGAAGAGATATTTTTTATAGCTCATTATTATATCACTTTTATATCACTTCATTGTATTTTAAGTGTGCATCAAGTCAACAGTTTGAAATAGAATAGCAAAAAATGTATTGTTATTATTATATTGTTATCCATGGAGGTAACTGGTTCATCATTATTTTGTGTACAACAAGTACATTCAGTTTTAATGCCCATGTCACTGTCAGTTCATATGACGTGGGGAAAAACATTTATTGGTTAAATTTGTATAGTCTGCCAGATTGCGTTTATCGGAATGTGACTTAGAAATTAATAAATCAACAAGTCATTGTCAATGACACGTCCCCGTTCCGTTCATATTTGAGTGACATGTACATTCAAAGCAGATCATGACCGAAATGCACCTGCATATGTACAACACATTGTGCTAAATCTGAACAAAATCCATCCATGCATGACTGAGATCCGGTTCTGGAATTGTGAAAATACGTGATTTTGATGCATTTTCGGCCTTAAAATGGCCATCATTCCGCTATTGTTAAGCAGATCATGAAACAAATTTTAATGCACATATATATTTGTGACATGATGTACCATGTGTGTGTGAGTTTGAACTTGATCAATCCAGACATATCTTGGATACGGATCCAGAACTGATTCTTTACAAA